TTGGGAGGGAGGGTGTGTTGTGATTGTTGTCCCTTTGATAGTCATAAATGGGTGTAAAGGAGGGTAAGAGGAGTGATGAAATTTGTGTGAAGTTAGAGTATTTTCCTGTAAAGGTAGTCTAGACATTAGCTTTATGGTTTGGACTCTCTCTTTTGTCATCCCTAGTTCCCCAAATGGGGGGACTGGTATTTAGAATTTGTACTCAGCTTCATATTTATATTGGACTCAAGCTCAATGACTTTATGAATTTTCCTGGATAATATTTCTCTATTCTTCATTTTGTAAGTTTGAATGAGAACCAACGCTGGATGGATTAAGTTAGTTTGGAACCTATTATTAGCATTGTTGTCTAGGCATTATCTGGTGTTCTGGCAGTGAGAATTTCTTGCCTAGGTTGTTTGACTCGACTGAGGGGCTGCCTGGCACCTAGATGTCACTTATCACTGGCTAAACACATGTTTTTTCGTGTTGGATATGTTTTTTTTCATGTCAAACTTCTACTCAGGATACACTTCCTTTCTCTTTACTCGACTCACTCATACTCTGAAGCGAAATGCAAAGTCGCTTAGTCGACTCTGAAGCTAAAAAGCTGAGTTGTAACTCCGTACCTATGCCTCTTGCGCCACCCTTATAATGTTTTATGTCTTGCCATATCATTTGCCTACTTTTTTTATGCCTCCCCAGTCCCTATTCTGTTTGTTAGTGTTGATTTTCAAGAGAGACACTGATGTTTATAATTTGTTTCATTAAGACTCGAAAGTGACCGATTATCAGCTAGTGTCTCTACTCAGGCAGTCCATTGATCCAAAATTCAGGATTATTTTTGTCCATATAAAACATGTCTAAAAAAACCTAAAAATATCTATCCTAATGACCCTCAATGCCTTTTTGATGTCATTCGTAATCTCACACACTCTTTAAATAACTGATATCAATCTTTTTCCTTATCTCAACAAGGCCCAATATGTTATTGACCATGCTAAACGTAACAGGTGATGACCTTACAAAGATTCTTGAGAAACTTGATAGTACCCACATGGCTTTTGTTCTCACAGATTACATAATGAATTTGGTTCTATCCAGAGTCCAATCAGTCCATCTCTCACTAATCCAACTATCCCTACCATGAAAGGGCTCATTGATCACCTCTTACGAGTCATGCCATCTATGAATTCATCCACGATTTATTCACAATTCCCTGAAAACTCTGCCTTTGTTCTTAATTCATCAAATCGTGGAAGAATTCTTTTTGGGTGTGGTGGTCGAAAACATGGAAGAAGAGGTGATACATGTGGGGGACACTGAAGACAAATGTTCTTCTATACATGGCTTTCTAAAAATATCTGTCAATTTAATGCATTCTGATTTATAATGACTCACATGATGAAAAGGAGTACACCAACCATGAAAATACTACTCCAAGTATATTATCTCCAATACTCCACAGAGGAATATAATAGTTCAAGGCTGTTCAACAAGTCGTGCCATCAGTAACACTAACACACATCGGTAATGCTAGAGTTTGTTTATCTCACTCATCTCCTCCTGCTCTAACAAAGGTAGATTCTGGTGCTTTGTTCACATTGCTAGTAATTCTTATCTCTTTTTGTTGGGATTAAGGCCCAACATACATTGGGCCGGCCCAAATGATCCATATCCCAATGACGGGCGGCTACCGTATTGACATGTGTCTCGACCACCAGATGGGATCGGGCTATGACAGGTGTCCCGACTATAAGTCGGGATAAGCTTGGGCACGGCATGGTCCATCCGGGGACAAGACAGAGTATCAAGCAAGAATCACCCTGAGCCGGACTAGTCACTTCGGTCGAAACTACCCATCATGACTTCCGAGCGATGCATTAAATGCGGAGGCGACGTCTGATACGCATGCTCGCCGGCGGAAAGCATGCTACGGTACAGATTACTGTATACCAGCCTATTGTTTCTCGCCAATCCTCCACAAGATCTCCTCCCTATAAATAGATGATGGAGGAAATGGAGGAAGGGATTGCATTCTAGAGAGAGAAAATAACAATATTGTATTAAACTTACAACCAATTGTACTCGGGTCAAGGCAATCAGGCCACACCCTCCTAATTCTCTATTCAATTAATATCAATGATAATTGATAAGTCCATACTTTCCTACACAAACTCGAGTTACTCCCGTATCAACACTTTTCTACACTATCTCCCACCAAAACACCACATTGCATTACTTTTGGTCTTGCGAGTCTCAGTACACTAAAGAACATCGTCCCTCACATATCTTAATCCCAAACATTAGAATGTGAAGCATGTCAACTTGAAAAACATATTCGTGCCTCATTTCTAAGCTATACCAAGGATTTGCAGTCATGCAAAATCACCCCTTGGGCTAATTCATTTTGATATCTGGGTCCTACTTGTGTTACATCTGGTTTGGGGTTGTAGATATTTTCTTACTGTTATTGATGATATCTCTTATTGTTCTTTTGTTTTTGAATGAAAGAATGTTGTTGATCGTTCACCAATTTTCCAATCTCTTGGGCCAAAACAATACCCAGTTTGGATTGCCTATTTGCATCTTAGGAGGCGATGATACAAACAAGTATTTGTCTTATCCCTTTCAATCATTCATGGTGTCTCAAAGTACATGTCATTAATCAAGTTGCCCTTACACTCGCCAGCATGATGGTGTGTTAGAACACAAACACTGTCATATTATTGAGACAAGTCGTATGCTCTTGCTTCACAATGTACCTATTCAATTTTAAGGCAATGTCGTACTCATAGCTATACGTTTAATAAATCCAATGTCATATAAGTTCTTACAATCAGGTTCCTCATTTGATTTTGTATTCTAAAGCACCACTTGTATTGTTCCTCTTATTCTTTGATCCACTTGTTTTGATAACAGATAAACAATGTTGTTTCAGATCTTTATAAACGTTCTGCTCAGCATTAAATGTGCATTTCTTAGATAATCTATGTTGAGAAAGGTTATCGGGGTTATTGTCCTTCAACAAAACATGTTTATATTTCTGTTAATGTTACCTTTTCTTAAGGTAATTGTTACTCACACTCCACCTTATTTCTTTATTCGCTCCACTTATCATATCCACTACACATTTGACTAAAGTAATCTTTTTTATTTTTATTTTTATTCCCTACACCAAAAGACAACTATTGACCTAAATAATTATTTTTGATAAATCTACCTCACTAGTTCTTTTTGAAGAGATTTAGGAAAAGAAAGGTTCATCATTATTTTTGAAACGCAAACATTTTAAAAAACCATAATTTTACTCTTATGTCTTATCTTTTCCAAAACTTGCTTTTCCTCCATTTTTCTCAAATGAAAAATGTAGTACTTTCGATGATATTTTGAATGGACTTTAAAAAATCTTGCGTTTGAAGGAGAGAGAAACAAACAATTATTTTATGGGAAGCCGAAAAAAAAAGTTTATTTATTTTTATACTAAATTTATAAAGCTTTATTTATTCTTAAAGGTAAATATGTAAAAACCTATTTACATTATTTTTAAGTATGATGGTGGAGTGTATTTTGTGTTTGACTTTTTATTTTTCTTATTTAGAGAATCATCTGTCACATAATCTTCTCCTGTTTTCCCTAAACAATCCATATAGCCTTTTCATCTAGCTGATTAAACTGATCATCCTCATATTCGTTCTGCCCAACCACTGGAACCTTCATTTATGACCAAGTCACCTGCGCTCCATGCCCTATTAATTTGGCTGTATATGTGGATGATATTGTTACCATATGTAATGACTGTCTAAACAACATTTGTCCACTTTCTTGTTATTAAGGTTTCTTAATTCAGAATGGGTACTTCCATATGCCAACAACTGTATACACTCAACATATTTGAAGAAATGAGGTTGCAAAATTGCAAACCAGTTGACACTCGTATGGATCTGAATGTTAAACATATACATGAACAAGGGGAACAATATCCTGATCCCGAAAGATATTGAATACTTTGCTGGCAAACTGAACTATCTCATTATATCTGGACCAGTTATAGCTTTTGCAATCAGTGTTTGAGCCAGTTTCTTAGTTCTCCTTGAGAAGGTCATTCACATTCTAAAACATCCATGGGATCTCCTGGAAAAAGATAATTTTATGAAATCAAGGGCCATACGAATATCATTGCTAATTATGATGGAGACTAGGAAGGGTATCCAAGTGATAGAAGATCTACTTTTGGATTGTGTTTTTCTTGGAGGTAATCTATTCGTTGCTAGATCAATTGCTGAAGCAGAATATATGGCTATGACCTTTTGTACTGGCGAACTAATTTTGTTGAAATACGTACTCCAAGAAACAGAAACAACCTCTCTATTTTTTAGATGGGTAAGACTGGATACATCTTGAGTCTTGACCCCAAGACCCCAATAGTGTTGGGATTATACGAGGTTGTTGTTGTACACTTGTACGTACTCATATAATTAAGACACTGCAATTAAACTTCCTGATATATGTTTGTGGCAACTAAGAAGCTCTACAGATGGACTCTAATCTAGTTTTTCATGAAAGGACCAAATATATTGAGATTGTTTATATGAGACACAATTTTCTCAAAAGAAATCAACACATGGTTTGTAAAATTCAGTTATCAACTTGCATATATTTTCACCAAGTTGGTGAAGACCTTAAACACTCTATATCTGTAATAGGCTTGATGCTTATGATACGCATGCACCAGCTTGAGTGAGATTATTGAGATAAGTGTGAATTTAGAATATTTTGGTGGACAATTAGTCAAGACAATAGCATTTAGAGTAGGCCTCTTTCTTTTGTCATCTCTGTTGAAAATTCACGGGGGGGGGGGGGGG